GGGGTTACGTCCATGGCTTAAGCGCACGAAAGGTTTTTCGGCAAAACTAAATACTAAATGTACATTTGAGTGAAAGCATTGGAGGAATATTTATACAGTCAGCAACACACCTAGCTATAAATAGCTATAACATGAGGTTACTACTTAATCAAAGTTAACCTCAACAATCTCCACCTTAATTTGTGTTAAGGAAATAATAACCTCTTTAACCTATATTATTACTCAACGGAAAGTTCTAGACAAAAACCTAACACAAGGTCTCGATTTACACGAGAGTTAACTAGAACTAGACCATAGCCATAACATGATAGAGTAATAACATAACGAAGTAAATAGGAAACCTGCTTGCATAGAACAATCAGAGATCTTGTAGTCTATATAATTACTTCGCAAGAAGTTTTAGACAAAAACTTAATACAAGCTTACTCTTTACACAAGAGTTATCTAGAGCAAAATTGTAGCCATCACATGATAGAGTAAATATGTAAAGAGATAACTAAAGTTATTATGCTAGCAAATTCTACATATGCTCTCCATGCACAACCTACATGGTAGCACACTGTCGCTTGAAACTCTCCAAAGGAATAACTTTGATCAAAGCCTCAGCTCGATTGAGTTTACCGTTGATCTTGACCAGCTCAATCGTTTTATCAAACATTGCTTGTCTCATAAAATGATACATGATGTCAATGTGCTTCACTCTGCTATCCATGACCTGGTTAGCAACCAAATGTGAAGCATTCTGACTATCACAATGAAGATTAACCACATCCTGCATCAATCCCATTTCCATGATAAGCTTATCCAACCAAATAGCTTCCTTTGCCGCTTTTGCTGCTGCTACATATTTAGCTTCGGTTGTTGATTGAGCTACACATTTCTTCGAGGTAGATCTACAATTAATGCTTCCACCTCCAAATGTAAACACATACCCAATTCTAGATCTCCTTTTATCTAAATCATGTCCGTATTCAACATCAACGTAACCAAACAAGGATTTGGCATTGTGTAATAGAACATCAAACAATAAATCATAATCCAAAGTACTCTTCAAATATCTCATAATCCATTTCAATGCTTCCCAGTGAACTTTTCCTAGATTTGACATGTACCTGCTCACCTTGCCCATCGCAAAGGCAATGTCTGGCATAGTGCACACCATCAAATACATGAGGCTACCTACGGCTTGTTCATAGAAAACACTTGACATTCTTCCTTTCTCCACAACATCGGTAGGACATTGAGCTGTGGAGAGTTTGAAATGTGCAGCTAAAGGAGTCCATACTTCTTTGGAATCAAACATGTTGAGCTTGTCAAGTATACAACGAACATACTTGCATTGACTCAACCATAACCTATCTATTCATGATCCATATAAATCTTCATGCATAATATTCTCTTTGACTCCCCCATATCCTTCATCTTAAATGCAAACTTCAACTTACTCTTGCATTCATCAACATCGGATTGGTTTTTTTCCAGGATGAGCATGTCGTCAACGTAGAGTACTAGAATGATGAGATTGAACATTTCATCATTTAGCTTCGTCATGTAGACACAAGGATCATACACGCTTCGTAAAAAATCTTGTGGCTTCATGAACTCATCAAATCACATATTCCATTGCCTAGGAGGTTGCTTAAGTCCATACAATGATTTCAACAATCTACAAACCAAACTCTCTTTGCCTTTGATCTCAAAACCAAGAGGTTGTTTTATATAGATCTACTCCTTTGAATGTCCATACAACAAGTTTATTATCACATCCATCTGATCCATAACAAATCAAATATCGCAACCAATGCACATACCAGACGAATTGTAGCATACTTAGTACATATATGAGAAAACTTTGTTGTAGTCCAGACACTTCTCTTGTGTGAAACCTCTAGCCACCCGTCTAGCTTTGAAGATTCTCGCCTCGTCTCTTGCTGGATTGTACTTCAGCTTGTACATCCACTTGGAGTCAATCAACGTTTAATTCTACTGCTTGCCTGCTGCACTATTTATTCGAGCAACTGGCTCAGCTGCTCGAATCTGCTCGCCGTTGTCGAAGTCCGCGAAGAAGGGGGAACATCTCCTTTTTGACTCTTAGAAAAAATCCGCCTCTTCGCTTCTGCTTGGGAGTCTCGGCCGCTTGTACTCTCTTCACGACCTCGCTCACACACTTTCTGATATTGTCATTCTTATTCATGTCAACTCCAAGAATAACACACTTTCTCATACTGTCACTGAAAGCTTTCAGAACTTTGCATAGAAACTTAGCAACGTTTAGTAAAAGTAAAAATTGAAATCATTTTCATTGTACACATCATCAGTGAAAAATGCTTACTAAACATTAAACAACTTGACAGCAAAGCTTCAATCACATTAAACAACTTTTATAGACATGATTAAAACGTTTTATCAGTGTCTACTTCCACCCCTTGAAAATTGTCTACTGAGTTTGACCAAATTATTACACTGAAATAAAAACTAAAAATTTCTTCTATTAACAAATTTTCAAAAAGTAAAACAAAAGCCTGAAAAATTGTCTAGATCTCTAGACAATTTTTCATTTAATATGAAAAAACTCTGAGACTACAAAATTTTGAAACTGAAAATTTCTTCTATTAACAAACTTTGAGAAAGTAAAACAAGTTTTTCTCTATATGTGTATGAGACACTCATATAACGTGGTTCACCCTCGGGGGCTAACTCCAAGGATGAAGCGCACAAGAAGATTTACTGACAACTGAATACTGAATGCACACCCAAATAGAAACTTTGGGGGTATATTTAGTTAGCGACACATCTAGCTATAAATAGCTTTAACTTGAGGTTACCCCTAAACCGGAGTTAACCTCAACAAGTACATGTCAAATCTCAAACGAGAGCATTGGAAAGCTGTGAAGTGAATAATGAGGTATATCAAGTGTTATTTTGATAATGGATTATTGTTTGATGCACATTCAAACAATGCAAGTTCGTTCTTGGGGATGTTGATGTTGATTATGGAGTAGATTCAAATAAGCGGAGATCATTAACTATGTTTGTTTTCACTCTTGTTGATGGATGCATAAGTTGGAGATCTACACTTCAAAGATACATTTCTCAATCGTCTATAGAAGCTGAATACGTTGCGGCAGCAAAAGCAGCAAAAAGACTATCTGGCCACTGAATTGGAGCCGTCATAGAGTGATGTGAATCTTTACTATGCAACTAGAGTGCATTTCATCTAGCATCAAACAGCGTGATGGCTGAAAGGGTAAAGCACATTGACATCTGATATCATATGCGGAAGTTGAACCACCTTATTTTGATGTTGTGACAGTCGTGCGTGCTGATAGATCTTGATTGTTGGATCTTACAATGATATATAAACATAAACAAAAAATTGAATAATTTCAATATTATTCTTGTTACATGATGCATGAAGTTATTACCCATATTCAGAAAAAGATGTATTTTGTTTAAAGTCATTATACATGTGATGTAATCATCATCATAAACATAAAACCTTTATAAGTATCAAGACGTCACAATAATAATTGACACCAAACAACATATAAAAACTTAATCCACATATCTAAGAAATATAAACTTGAATCGTCATATTATTTTCTATGATTTATTAGATAAACTTGTAACTCATCAATTCCAAAACTTTATATAATTTTTCGATTTCATAGTAAAAACTATATTTCAAAAAGTTTAATCAAGAAATCTCAATTCTAAGAATATTTCTTTGCCTCTTTTGAATTGTGGATTAGAAGCTCCCCGTCAATCAATTAATTGCTAGTCAAAGACTTTAGTAAGAAAATAGCCAAAACATTGTGTAATATTCTTTTCGATAGTATTTTTATTTGAAATTGTTGATTCAAGAAACCTTTGTTCTAACACAATTTCTTTCACGATTGGAACATAATTCAATCCAACTGCCATACTAAATTCAAAATTGATTAAAACGCGTGCAAATACATCATGAATGAATCAACAAAACACGGTATCTGATTTCTAAACAATATTCAAATCAACAAGCAAGATAGAATGTTTACATAGAAGTCAATGTAAAAGACTTATCATATTAAGAATCCAAATGGTTAATGGTAATAGATCAAGCCCGAGGTACCCAAAGGGTCAAAAGTCTAGAAAACACAATACAAGCAAAAACCACAAACAAGCAAAATACCCCAAAGTCCTATACATAGTTAGTGCCAAAAACACTTGAACGGTAACTAATAATGTCCCTAATATAACAACATAAATCAAAAGTAACTATAATAAAAAATAGAAATTCTCCACATCTATATTATGAGCAACCCTAATGTCTTCATACCTAGAACAAGTGACAAATACATGCTTTTCATACTCAATGTACCCACCGTCACATAATCTACAAATAACTTCACTCCTATCAATATTAAGCTAACTTCCTTACTCAATTCCAAGCCCATGAGATCCAGTTCTATGCCCAGCAATAATATGGTGTAACGACTTAGAAACTCCTCCAAATAGTAATCGTGTAGTTGTATCCAAGTATCAGTTCAGATGTATATATTAATGGTACTAGCATAATTAACATAACCATCTCAATAAATATTGGTCAAACTCAATATGATTCAAAATACAAGAATTTTTCTTACAAACATCAAGTCATGGTTGGTGGGTGATGCATGTAGGAGACAACAGTTCATTGGATTTTGCAAACAAGATATACTGGTGTAGCAAAAGATGAGATAGATAAATAAAATGAAAGTGATTTGTACTTTCTCCTTATTATGGACTTTGGGTTGTGAATTCTTCGAATTCGCTTGGACTTGCTTTTATTGTCTTTTGTAGGATTTGCCATAGTCCTATTTATCTCATAGAAGTTTGTTACAAAGTTTATATTTTCATTTGGAAGACATTCAGTGCATGCTCTCTTGTCGATATCAAACAGCGACATGATTTCTTTCGCACGACGAGTGGAAGAAATAGAGCATTGTTTCAAGAATCACGCGCTCTTCCGATGGATGCAGGGAAGCTCTGGAAAATAGGCAACATCTTTATGTTATCAGTGGGAACATCGAAAGGCGAAAGGCCCCAATCGAGGGACGGGGAAACGCAAGGATCGATGAAGGATTAGTGGACGGACAGTTTCATCCGAGACGAGCGGGGCCAGAGCTCCAATCGAGCTGAGGTCGACGAGACGAGACGGATTGGATTTCAAACCGGCAATCGTAGCCATGGCGACGGCAGCAGCTGCTTCGTGGACTGCTGTTCGTGCAGGCGGTCCATGGGCGGCGTCGTGCTTGTCGCGTGCAGGAGGCTCGAGGTCGGTCTCGTGGAATTCGTGTGGCGTGAGCTTGTGCGGCGTCGAGTCGCGGAGGGCGCTGCAGTTGGCAGTCGGAGGAAGTTCGAAGAGCAGTCGAAGGAGCGGCAAGGGCGATCGCTTCGCGCGCCTCTGCTGCGTCGCGGGCGTGCAGAAGTTGGGGGAGGTGGATGCGGTGGACCTTTCGTCGGATGGCAGTAAGGAATTCCCTGCCGCGCCTGGTGTGTACGCCATCTACGACAAGGAGGGCAAATTGCAATACGTCGGAATTTCTAGACGAGTCTCGAGCAGCATTCAAAGTCATTTGCAGGACTTGCCCGAGCTTTGTGCCTCTGTGAAGGTTGGTCGGCTCCATCCTCCCGCTTGACAAGGGCGTCCCATCTTGCTTGTAGGTCGGTTATAAGAACGCGGCTCATCTGTAAATTGATGCGTGCGGTGTGTAACTCGATCAGGACGAGAATAGCACAGGATGAAAATCCCCAGCGTATCATTCGCATCAGTGCAGAGCAGAAATCAAGGCTGACACTTTTACATATGCACGTGGATGTCAATGTGGAGAAACGGATGGATTAAAATTTGTGTGTTTACGATTACGGCAGTCCTCTGGATACGTGAGAATTGATGTACATGACATCGTTGCAAGTGCAAACTAATTTGTGTCAACGGGTTGAAGCTGACGAGTTCTGAATTGGGGTACTCAGAAAGCTCTAGATTCATTCTAGAATTCAGGGATCATTGTCGAGTGCTCTTGATCTTGAACTCCTCTCTCGCGTACCTTTCCTTCGACTTGTACCGGAGATGTAGGCCTCAAGAGGTAGAAGTCTCTCGGAGAAATGTCTTTTTGCATCCAGCAGCAGCTATCTTCGATTAGGGATCGCAGCTGCGAGCGCAGATTTTCTGATTCTTTGTACTTCTTTGTGCTTAGTTGAATTCTGTGATTCGTCCACAGTCAGCACTGGGTTAATGTTCCAGCGGCAGAGACAAACGAACTGCCGATCACGTTGCTGTTTGAAATCGAGCATCTATGAATTGTGCCGTAATTGATTCCCGGCCTGGGCTTGTTTTGCAGGTAAATGTGGTCGATGCAGCGGACAAGACGGCGTTGACAGAAGCGTGGAGGGAGTGGGTACAGGAATACGTGGAAGTGACAGGAGAGGTGCCACCGGGGAATGTGCAGGGCAACACGACCTGGACAGCGAGGAAGCAAAGGGCCGCCAAGCCTGAGTTGAAGCTCACTCCGGGTCCTCATGTAACCCTCACCATCCCCTTGGTGGAACTGATCGATCAGGTCGTGAAAGGATGCACCGTCGTCGCCTTCGTCAAAGGAACCAGAACAGCTCCTCAGTGTGGCTTTTCCCACCGCGTGCTCACCATTCTGAACGAGAATGGAGCTGACTATGAAGTGGTGAATGTTCTCGATGACCATCACAATCCGGGCTTGAGGGAAGCTATCAAGGAGTACAGCCAGTGGCCGACCATTCCCCAAGTCTACGTCAAGGGCGAGTTCGTAGGAGGAGCAGATATTTTAGATGAAATGGTTCAAAGCGGAGAGATCAAATCGCTCTTTCAAAAATCACGACCCAAGTAAATCAGCCGAAAACTAGATATTTGTTCGTTCAGAAGCATCTGATTCTCTTACACCATCAGGCCAGTCCACTGGCCCATGTATCGATACAAACATTAAAGCACATGAACATGAAACTTCTCTCTACTCCCGTCTCTCATTCTTTCTGGACATGTCTCTAAAAGGTTCCAGTCTGGTCTGCCATATGTTTCGTCGCTCTCATGATTGCTTGCCCTCTGGACAGACGACTGGAAACTTAACTTACATTCCGGATTACCACTAAAGCAAAAATGCAGAACAGAATCTATGGAATAAACCAGCTCGACAGTTTTCAGCTTGTGATTTAAGAAGATGGCTGAAGACATTTAAGCCCAGGAAGGACAAATTTCATCCCAGACTCTGCATCATCGCCTCACGAGACCTCCATGGAAGAAGGCGATAACTGGAAAGCATCACCTTCGGTGCCTGGAAGTGGCAGGGAGCGACGGCCGGACGGCCGGACTTGCAGAGGAATGCTGGAAATGCCTGATAACCTTGCGTGCGTCACAAGCGTCGAGAGGAGCACAGAAACTTAGACTGCAAGTACACGGTCGTGTGGGTTTGCGGCGGCCGAAGTGGAGGTGGGAGCTGACCGGGAAAGGTGATGGATGGACATAAGGCGCGGCCTCGACACTCTGCGTCAGATTCATTCCTCGTTGTACTCGGAGTCTTCGGAAGAGCGAGCGCATCGGGCTGCCTGGAATCTTCTGTAGGGTCCGGAGCACGAGAGCTTGAGGAGACGGAGCCATGGCTGCGACTTCAGCGATGACGAACATCAACGTCGCAAGTGTTGCAGCCTCCACCTGCGTTCTCAGGGTACGCGAATTGTGTCACGAGAGAACTGGAAGGGTTTGTCTTTGATGTCTTTGAGCACTCGTTGTGGAATCTAGTATGGAATTTAGTGGTGACTGTTTGAATGGATGTTTGTGTTTGCAGCGGGATACCGAGATTTCTTTTGCTCGTCTTGGAAATGTGCAAGCTCCTTCGCGCAGTGCTACATGTGGAACCTTCGGAACGCGACTGACCGTGCACGTGGCCAACAAGAAATGCTGCCAAGGGAAGGCCCCTGGAATTCGTGCTGCGGCTCAAGTCGAGGGACGGTCGGATGCTGAAAAAGCATCGGGAAGAATCATACATGGAAAGTGCTTCGTGGTCGGCGATAACATCGACACTGATCAAATTATTCCCGCTGAGTATCTGACTCTCGTGCCCTCCAAGCCCGATGAGTATGAGAAGCTCGGGAGCTACGCCATGATAGGGCTGCCCGCTGAATGGGGACGATTCATCGAAGAGGGACAAATGAAGACCCAGTACGCAGTTATGATCGGTGGCGACAATTTCGGATGTGGGTCATCTCGAGAGCACGCACCTGTGGCTTTGGGAGCTGCTGGAGTCAAGGCAGTTGTAGCCGAATCCTACGCACGAATTTTCTTTCGAAACTCGGTTGCCACAGGAGAGCTTTACCCTGTGGAATCCGAAAAGAGGATTTTCCAGGAGAATAGCACCGGAGACATGGTGACAGTGGACTTGGAGCACGACCTTTTAATCAACCACACCAACGGCAAGACCTTCGCATTGAAGCCTATTGGTGATGCTGGTCCTGTCATCGATGCTGGAGGGATCTTCGCGTATGCTCGTGAGACGGGAATGATTGCAGCGAAATAAAATTCTGAATATCCTGCAAGTTTATAAGCCAAACGTCCAGAAGTGGATCCTATTTACGTGGGCTACGTTGACTGCTCGAACCCTGCGTTTGGTACGAATCGCTATGTACCCATATTTTTTTTTTGCCATTTTGAGACAACAGCCAATTTTACAGAACTGTACCTTACAGGGTCGAACATGGTTACAGCCTCCACGAGATTTTGAGACTCCTAAATCCGGCCTGATAGTGCACTCTAGCTGTTCTCCACACATACACAGGTGCAAGTGGAAGTGAGACTGAAGTGTAGGTTCAGTCTTGTAGTCTGTTTGGTCCACCATAGAGTTTAGTATAGTAGATTCTGAACATTTGTGATAGTTATATTGTGACAATTCGATATCTGGAATGCCCCAGTGCATCCGCGATTTAGTGTGACTGTCCAAGCACAGGATTTCAACTCTCACGAGTGAACTGATCATAATTTGAAGAAACCATTTAATCAATCGATTCAATGCTGGACGCTATTTCCGACAGTATCACTCTAATGGATGCACGTAACTGATCTAGTTAATATACGTTTACAGTTCTGCATTCATTTGACTATCAGTTGTAACTCGCTTTAACCTAATCCACTCTCTTGCCTGAGACTATTCTACATCTTGGGATTTTTTGCATGTAGAGGCTGTGTAAACTATTCGATCTCGGGACTTTCTCTCGTCGCTTTTGAAGTAGATAATCGACTCTTGCGAAGACACACGTCAATATGATTGAATTCCAAGTGTTGACCATTCAAGAACATGTCAACTCAACTGTCTAAGCAGCTGCATTCAGACAGCGAGGCGTGTTAACCAGAGGGATCCTTACGGTAGCCAATGTGCAAGGGAAAGGTCTCTTTGGCTTGAACTGTCTTATGTTCAACTGTGTCTGAACGTGTTGCACACGGACGTACAACATTTTCTCAGCTGCTCACTGACTACCTTCAGGACATGCTGCAACACTGGGGGACAGCTCAGATCAGTCCCCCATTACCTCCAACTAGTAGACAGATGCCGCGATTGGAACGACATTCAATCGGCACCGGGGGTTGAAGTAAACTCATTAATCGAATATATGACTGAAGTGTATGAAATTAAGAAAACCCTGGAATGGGTAGTACAACCCGTGCTTGCAATCAAACTCGGTAGCTACTCTGAGGCTCCAGTCTTTACAGGAAAAATGATTGGAGGATTGGGCCTCCGGACATATATGCGGTGATGGTTAATGTGCTCATTATTATACAAGTGGGCAGAAACCCATCAATCGTGTACGAATATAGAATGGCAACTTCTTCGTTCTCCAACGCAGCTTATCTTCCCTTCAGCTTTCTGTCCAAGGTGAGGTGTAAGGAAAATACTGAAGATCTCCGCCCTCTTTAGAATCGAGAATGTTCTTTGATATTCGAAGATGTTCCCTGCTCCACTCTCACAGGAAGTATTCTTTATGGCGGAATGCCATGGAAGTCTTCCCTTCATGGCACGGTCATACTGCACGTCATTTGTCACCATCCAGTCATGGAGATATAACACTGGAACCACTTCAGTGGCCACCAACGTTTAAAACGTCCCACTCAAATTATGTGAATGAATTCCTCCGAGACCATGACGCGGTTATTCGTTTGCATTTTCTGAAAACATACGAAGAAATCGAAACATTAGTCTGAATCTAAGCCTCATGTAGGACAGTTCAAGACAATGTTTTACAGTGCATCATAACAAGTCGAAACGACCGAATCAAACAGGTCACTTCGGTTGTAGTTAGAATGACATCACCACGGCGTCCAGGTTTCCACATGAATTTAGACTCGAAGGATATGTCATACCTCCAGTACCCAGCGGATTTCTCCGGTAGAAAATGCATGGGGGTTTCCAGCATTGACCACGGCAGAGATTTCCGTCATCGAGACGCGCTCTAGCCGATTGGCTCGCATGTGCTGCGCGAAAGCAAGCTGGAACTTCTCCTCCCTGCATATTAAACACGACAGCGACTGAGTTCTACAAATTATTGCTACAAAGTTTCTAATGACAGATCAGCCATGCTCAAAACTCGGGGGCATGGCAGCTTTTTAAAACTTCTATGAAAGTTCAGAATCCTAACCTCTCTGCTGAAAGTTCGTTACTGCCAGATGTTCCTGCTTCGTCTTCATTCGCTGTAGGACCGTTGGCGGCTGCCTCCATTGGCCTGCCATTGCAGTGAATCGAAATTGGGAAGTAAGTTTCTCAGGATCGACACTCATGATTTTCTGCAGTTTTCTACAAGATTCCATTCAGTACATGCAGGATAGCTGTTAACGCCTATACAAGGACCTGGCATACTCTTAGCTTGAACTCGGAGAAAGAGGGTTAAGTCATAGCAGAGGAGTAGGCAGTACGTCTGAGGCTCTCCTTCGAAGTCCATCTCTGCGATGCCCGAGGCCCCATTTTGACCACGAGACGGATCGTTCTCTTCACCTCCTCTGACTGGAATGCCGGCGTCGCTTTTACGTCGTCTTCTACTCGGAGTTCTTCAGCAGAAGAAGAAATTTTGTCAGGATCTCTGACCAGAGGTCAAGGAAAAAGCGAGACAGCACGAACCAACCAGACAAAGCTCTAATGCTGCATACCTTCTTCTACTCCCATCTCCGTTACCATTGTCATCCCCGTTATCTCCAGCATCATCTCCACCACCATTTTCTTCTTCGGCTCTCCGCTTTCTCTGCTGGTCCCTCTCTTCCGCATTTGTCAGCTCCTTGTGGTAGATTGCGAAAGTCATGACCTTTAAGGCTGCATCAACATCGGCCTTCTTCACCTGAAGCAGATCATAGTCAGAACGAAGAGAGCTTTCCACATTAAAAGAAATGGCAAAAAAGTTTGGCACATATAAATTTGCTGCATGGAAGATGTTCTCTGCAACTTGAACTTTTAAATTAAAGAAAGGCAACAGAGGCAAGAAGGTTAACGAACCTGATTTCGGAGTTTCAACTTGGCATGCGCAGCTGAAAGCCGGATCATTGTCTCCAAGGTTCGGGCAGTTATAGGTAGAGTGCCACCACCGCCACTCTAACAAGAACGAAACAACGCGGTTTGAATGGAACGGAATGAACGTGGCTCCTCGCGTTATTATGACCTACATCTTTTGTTCTTGTTTGGGCAGTAGGAAATGTATCCAACAAGGCAATGAGAATTTGAAATTTTGGAAGAATGGTCACAACTGATCTAGGAACCCAGTTCTCGGACATCTCACAGCTCATTCGCCTTCAAGGTAGCTACACACGCTGGTTGTAAGTTGTTACCTTGTTGTCAGCCCCGTTGTTCCGCATCTCTGCATAAGCTTGAGCTATTTGTTCCGAAGCCTGCGTCAAGCACTTTGACTTGATCATCGGGGGTATACAGGACGCCCAAGCAACTTCAAGATTAACTTCAATTAAATGACGTGGGCTAATTTGCAATATTTGAATACACCTCAAATAAAAATATGATTTGAAGAGTATGTGTGGACAGACCTCTTCGGTCAAAACAGGCTGCATTCGACTCTTAGCATAGTTGATGTACTTCTTCAGAAATTTTATGGTCAACACGTCTTTTTTGCCATGTCGACCTTTCCTCTCGCCATGCAATAGGCGATTGTACTTCACATACACTGCTGTTGCTTTGCTATTCTCTTCCTCCTCATCTCCTTTGTTTGCTCTAGTGTCGGCACCGTGAGAAACCCCTGCAAATTCCAGTCGCAAAAGACCCGCATACATTAGGAGATGTGTATACTGCCTCAACGGGAAACCTTTGTCAGTGACGTATGCATCGACTGGAGTGAAAGCTTCCTTACAGTAGACGCACAAACGTAAGCCATGAGACAGTACATATACAACCGTGAAGAATGAAATCAGTGAGCATACCTCCATCCTCTCCAGGGGGTCGATAACGGTGCATCCGGAGTACGTGCTCTGAAATCTGGCGATCAATGTCTGGATCCATTTGATCCAGTACAATAAATAGCAGATCAAAACGAGACAAGAGAGAGTCTGGAAGGCCGATGTTCTTGGTTGGAGTGAGGGAACGATCGTACTGCAGAGTAAGACGTCGTTCAAATATATTAGATGAAAGTCAGCTCCAAGCAATTCCTTGAGGAGAAAAAGACACTGATATCAGGTCCAAATTTTCCAACTATTTTCTCCGCCCGTTTCTACTTACGCGCTTAGAGGAAAACTCGACCACTGGTACTGGGGTATAACACAACCCGTTCCTAATTCGTTATACGTAACGTAAGTACTCAACAAACACACTTTTGACAAGGGGCAGAGCTTTTCTGAATCAAAGACTCCATAAGGACAGTTTTTGGTTTCCATTGGAAGACATTGGCCTTACAGTGCCATAAATGGGATTGGCAGCTGCAATGACACTGCAGCGCGCGTTGAGAGAAGCATGGATGCCCGCCTTGGCAATAGTGACCGTCTGTTGTTCCATGACTTCATGGATTGCGACGCGATCCAAGTCGTTCATCTTGTCGAACTCGTCTATGCAAACAACTCCTCGGTCAGCGAGAACCATTGCCCCGGCTTCTAAGCGCCTATCACCTGAAAATGCAGGCACAATGGCGCAAAGCAGCAATGAGAACGTCAGGAAAACTCACTCGGGAAATATGCACTATAAAGAGTAAGACTTCAAAAGTAACACTTTCAGCTCACCGGTCTCTTGATCCGTTGTTACAGCGGCTGTGAGTCCAACGCCAGACGATCCCCGGCCAGTTGTTGAGATTGCCAGTGGTGCTATATTCATAATAGCTCGCAATAGCTGCGATTTGGCGACTGAAGGATCTCCGACCATCATAACGTTTACATCCCTGCACCGGTCAGACCCCTGGAGATAAGTTAGCTTATCAGCGCCTTCCAGCCATGATAAGATGATGGCTTAGAACTTCTATGGGACGGCCAGTAGAACGAAAGTGGTCATTGTAATCCAATCCAACTGATGTTGCGTGTACAGCAACTTGCTTCCATGGGTGGTGATCAGCAGAGTATTGACATTCGCTTAGGCTTGCCTAAGGAGTTGAGGGATTCAGGTGGATTCCGTACTAACCCTCTAATATGTGTCCCGTTCTTCAGGTTCTTCTCAACGCCGCCGAGCAGTTGAAGAACAACTGCCTTTTTTATCCAAGTATGTCCGTAGATGGAAGGTGCAAGTGATTCTCCGAGGAGATCGAAGGCATCACTTCTCTTCGATATTTCTTTGATATTCTTTAGATCGTCTGCTGTAAACACGGGTGCATTGATGTCTTTGTTGAGCTGTGAGACGTTATTCGCAACCACAACAGTCCTGCCCATCATTCAAAATGGTGAGAATCTTCAATCAAAATTCAGAGGGCGGGCAGATACGTGCGCATCCTGCACAGTGCAGCAAGCTAATCTTACCTGAAAACTCCATTCATGCTGCCTTTGCTTTTCGTGGGCACCGCTTTGTAGATACCCATAATTGCTACACGATCGCCTGGCTTGCATTTGTCCACCAGATCGTCTTCGACGATAACGTCAATGGAGCGAGGGAGTTGCCCGGGAGCAGAGTTTTCAGGCATTTCCTGAACTGACATTGTCTGGTGATCTCGAAACTTGCATAGGCCATACTCTGTGACAAGCAAGTTACCTGAATCATCCTGGTCAAATGTGTGCAGAGTCAGAGCTCATCAAATACCCAAGAAGCAACCTGATAGACATTTTCCATTTTGCTTAGTTTTGCCTTGACAATGGACATTATCATGATTGACAACGGAATGTCATTTGATTGCAATCTCCTTTCTCCTGCCGATAAACTCAATTCTGGTGAACCGAAAGATGAGAGAACCATTCACAACCATGTTCGCTAAACAAATGGCAGGAAAGATAACTCACTCTTGTTGGATATGTAGATCCCGTCGGCACTCCGGTGGGAGAAGTTATGTCCCGGTACTCTCGGGTCGTGAAATCTCCAGTTGTTGGGCAGTAATGTACACTCTTAACCACCTTTGGCCTCACGAGTGAGCCTGTGGAACCCAAATCAGAGGAATTTCTCATTAAGGACAGTGTGGTATGAAAAATAATGCCCTTAAAGCTAATACCTTCATCAGCCAAACAGAGTACCAAGCTCTTGGGACCACAAAATAAAAATTGGTTGATAATCAGTGGCAAGATTTGCAGCAAAATTCCGGTGTCCACTCACATTTGGTAATTATGCCTTCGACAGAAACCAAAGCACCTAGAAATGGCGACAGAAGCTCCCGTGGCGTCACTCTGTGGAACCCAAACTGCCCTTCGAAACCAACGTGCATTTCCTCTTCCTCGGCAATGTACTTTGCATCGATGTTCCTCGTGGTCTCTTCGACAGCCTCCGTTAAGGGTTGGATGAATTCACTTGGATTCTCCAGAATTCTATGAAGGAAATTAAATTTCGGTCAGATATTCTGTAATTGGGTCAAACGCAATTCTCAGTGCGTAAAAACTTCGGAACATATTCTCGTAATCCTTTCCACAATGTGTAAATACCTTCGAGTGAGGTCTTGACTGAAGTTGCGCAAATCGTTCAAGTCAATTAGGAGTCGCTTCTCTCCCCTATCCATCATCTTGGAGATCTTGGCAATGTACGGCCCTTGCCCATTCTGCACACGGGGCCTACATCAGTTGCTAGCACTTCAAATGTTTCACAGCTGCAAGAAACAATTGTCATTGCCATGCCAAAACTAGATAATAGCTTTCCGGCTGAATAAATTTGAAAACATTCCAGCACGTCGGCAGGCATCAGGATGAAACATATTTTTAAGCGGCTTCATTGGCGCCCTGCAAAATGTTCGAAAATATGTATATGATATATGGCCATCAGAGGAGAAAACCAAGCAAGAAAACTAACGTCTTGGTCAAGAAAGTCCATAAACGAGCGCTTGTTGGCAATCGTCGCTTCCGGATTTGGCTCCATTGCTCTTCGGTTTTGTGCAACCCAGACTTGCTCGCGGTCGAAATCCTCTGCTCAGAGCAACCTTCACAGGAGCAACTACTGGATCCGCGCCCAGCCTAGAAATGATTATACTTGAAAAAGAACCAGGGGCCTTCTTTCGGAAGAGATCCTGGAGCCGCTGGTAGAGTAGAAGCACGAATAGACAATCCGTGAACACAACAATTGTGCTATGAACCACAAGAGCTTGTCAAGCTCAAAAATCTGCAACGGAGGATGCTTTCTACTCGTGCTGCGCCATATCATGGAACAAAAATTTACTCCAGGAGCAATCCCATCGACCACATTCCTGATCGCCGGGAAGTAATTCAGGAGGATCACGATTCTGAAGAAGAAATGTGAGTCATTGTCTGAGTGGGGGAAATCAGACAGCCTCGGCGGAGCGTCTACATGATACTGACAAGACGCTCCGAACGCAGACCGGGAACGTATCGGTGTTTTGGCGGGAAACCGATATGGCGCCATAATCGCTACCTTCAGGGTCGGAGATTCGGCAAGCATCCACCGACGGACATCCAAACATCCGTCCGTCCAAGGACGACACATCACATTTCCTACCACAGTGGCTCAGAGCCATTCGTACGAGGTCGGAAATGGTAACCATAGAAGGAAGACCACTTTTAACGTATCTCTTCCCCCCGTGCTTGCTTCGACTGACCGTACGACGTTGGTAGAACAAGGAAGAATCATCGCTTACTGGACTTCGACCTGACTATATGGAGATGGTAATATGGCGACACTACAGCAATACACGTAGCGATACTCTTTTACAGTACCCTCATACACATTCAGCAATTGGTTCATGCAAAAGAAAAAATCCTCACATAAATTGGAATCGGAGAAATTTTCCAATGCTAACGAGTTGTTTAGAAGGTGCCACATCTTTACTCTCATAGTTAAGGACCGTAGTTCAAGTAAGTGCAAGCTAGTTGTAGTCTCTTGGACAGTCTTAAAGGATAAAGAACAGTTGATTGCATATGAATTTAAAGGTTTGTTAAGTTTCTAGGCTTGTAAGACATGAGTAGTAACTTACCAACAAGTGTGTATTAAAGTCCCGGAATGGGATGCTTAAATACACAAGTGTCTTATCTAGATTGTTGAACTTCTTGTGAAGAATACTCCCTACTAGATATACCAGCAAGAAAGCCGAGTTCTAAATGCTATTCTCAAGAAAGAAGTCTCTCTTTTGATCCACCACATGGTTAGAAATGCTCCCGCGCCATTACAATGAGAACATCCTCTCCTCAAGCTATGTGGCTAGATTGGCCGTTATTCTTATTTTAACACTCCCACGAGCCAGCCTTGCCACATGTCATGCTATTCCAACCAACACCTTAACTTACTCAAACTGATTAGCTAGAAGTGACTTAGTCAAAAAATTTGCATTGCTTTGAGGGCAATAAATAACTTCACTTCTTCTCACATTATCCATGCCCTTGTGAAATCATGAACAACTTGATATGCTTAGCGAGGTCCGAAGCAAGAGTATGCTTCAGAAGTTTCAAAGCTCCTTGGCTATCATCGGATCTCCACAATTAGAATTCTCAATCCTGTAACATCGGAATGGGATCATAAACAATAGTGCTTCTTTGATCACCATTGAGGCGTTCTAATACTCTGTCTCAATGGTTCACAGTGCCACTGTGGATTGGAGTCGGCTTTTCCATTCCTCTGGTCCACTAGACATCTTCTTAATGTAACCCGTAGTTGATCTTCTTGAATAAAGTTTGTTGACAAAGTTCGTGTCTCTATCGACATCTAGAACTTGATTAGAGGTCTCAAACATAATGCTCTCGTCTCTATTACCAACCAAATATTCGAACACTCTTGTGGCTTCTCTCCTGTGATCAGATGTGGACGCAGATATGTATCGAGAGAGTATACTTGTGACTTGAAACAGATCTCGCCTTGTAAAGGTAGCAACATAGGAAACATTTTTCACTAGTTTGCAGTAGGGATATGTTTGGATATCGAGAATCTCGTCGTGTTGACTGTTGTTTCTCATCAACAGTCATTGACAATCTACAATGTTTAGCATCCTGCATCTGAAATTTATCCAAAATCTCCTTACAGTATGTTTCCTCAATGAGCTTCAATGTTTCTGACTTTTGGTTTCTTGCAATCTTCATATCTAGGAAGTAGCTGCATCACTTCATTTCATCTATGTCAAAATTCTCCTTAAGTACGTCTTTGATCGCATTCATGAGCTCAAGGAATGAACTAACCATGAAAAGGTCATCAACCCAATCTAATTAGTACATAATCATCTTTTCATGTCTGCAGTTAGTTGTTGATGTCTTGCTATACATCTTTATCATCACAACAAGCAAAATGTCATCTATGAATGCATCAAGATCTTCTGCTCTATAATTACTTCTTCCTTTGATAATTTTTGAAGTGGAAACAAGCATGGATCTGCTGTTGAAAGCTCAAAGCTCAACTTTTTTAGGAAATGGAACATTGTCATCCACCACACTCTTGGAGTTTGTTTAAATCTCCAAGGGTGTGGTGGGTCTGTAAAGAGATTTCTTGAATCGACTTACGAGGTTGCTGGCTTCTTGCACAAAACCCTCCGGTTGTTCCATAAAAATCTCTTCTTCAAGATCCTCATAAAGAAAAGTAGTATTGATATCATACAGCTTGAGTTCTATATCTCGATGAGCAACAATTGCTAGCACGGTTTAAAGCCTTGTGTGCTTGCGGGTTGACGCAAATGTCTCTTTGTAATCAATGCCCTATTTTTGTTGGAACTCCCTGCTCATCATTCCTACTTTGTACTTGATCACATTCCCATAGGCATAAGTTTTATATTCAAACACCCACTTTGAGTTAATCATGTTATTTCCATATGATAGAGTCACTAGATCCCAAGTGCATTTCTTCTATAATGACTTGATTTCATCTTCAATAGCAAGTCGTCACATAGCTACGTCATCATGAGCCATTGCTTTGCCATAAGAGGCAGACTCGTCTTGATATTACAATAGGTGTCCAAACTGCTTTGGTTTCACGTGACTCGTTTATAGTTCTTCTTCCGATGGTGTCGTCTTCTTTTATTCAGAATGAAAGAGTACAATCAAAGACCTTATCGTGACTATGCTAATTGCTGCCAATTCTCATCTCCAAACTTCAAGTCATAATGTTTTTTCTTTGAACCTTATGGAGCATCTTATCTAAATAGTTGGAGCGGAAATATCTTCCAGCTCAATTTTATCAATCTGACATGCGAGAGTTGATGAAACCTACAAGCTCTTGGATAGCTTCTACGGGCTTAGTAGCTCCCATGGCTTCTGAAGCCGCTTGACTTTCATTGTTGCTCTTGACTGATTCTTCAAGATCAATTTCAAGAGGTGCTTTCAGCTTGATTGTTCATCAAACTTCACGTCTCGGGAAATTACGACCTTCTTGCTAGGATTTATGAGTATCTTATATCCCTTGCAGACTTACTCAAAGCCGAGAAACATCCCTAGCTATGCCTTAGCCTTTAACTTATTTTGCTTCTTATTATAGGATATAGGATATGAACAAAACACTTTGAATCAAAAACTTGCAAATTGTTCACAGTAGGCTTGACGTTAATGAACATTCCATATGGAGTCTTGAGATGCACTTAAAGGTAGATCCGGTTCTTGCAAATGCTTCCGTAGATCTAATTATCTATCCAAAAACTTGGATGTATATCTTGATCAGTCAACATACACCTTTTACTCTCATTCATTGTGCAATTAAATTTTTCCTCCACATCATTCTACTGCGGTGTATAATCACTTGTCTTCGTGTGTGTGGTACTATTTTCTTTCACCATTTTTTTAGATACTTGTTCACGTACTTTTTTCCTTGGTCGGATTGAACTTGTACAAGCTACTTGTCAATTTGTCTCTCCATTCTTGTGAGCATCACCTTTATCATCTTCTAGACTAAATCGTTGTGCTTGATTGGCACAACCTTGCTAAGACTTGAGAAGTTGTCAACAAAGTTTACCACATATCTAAGCCTCTAAATGAATCATTGAGGATAGATTCAACAATATCTGTGTGTATGATTTCGAAGAATTCTTTGCCTCCATCTTGAAGCTGGGAAAATGATTTCTCTTCATCTTTTCCAATATGCAAGGATCACAAAGTTTTTCTCTAAAATTGACGTATGTTATGTTAATGAGTTTTTCCATGACTTATGATCAATGATTTTTTAGAATATTTCCATTGTTGATCTTGACATAGAGTACATCAATTTCAAAAAATCCTCAACAATCACCGGTTGTATCTACCTCAAATTTACTTCTCCACAATCCTTTGAGAAGCAATACGCGTCAATGTCTACCTTCCATGTATTGTAGTTCGTCTTTGTCAAAAGCTCGATCAAGTGCTTTTTCAACGTACTCATTTATCTAAGCACATTTTAATCTAAGAAGCTTTCTCTAATCCAAAAAATGCTTTCCATGCCTTGTAGTTCTTCTCTGTCAAAAGCTCGATCAACTGCTTCTCCAACGTACTCATTAATCTAAACACACTTCAATCTAAGAAGCTCTTTCTAATTCGAATAATGGTCTCTACAAAATAAGTCAGTTTCTTACTCCTTTTTAGCTACTACAAGTCGTGGATCCATGGCTTGTTAAATTTTGATGCTTGGAAGATATGAGTAGGAACTTGCGAACAAGTGAGGTATTAAAATACTTGATTGAGATGCTTAAACACACAAATGTCTTATGTAGATTGGTGAACATCTGCTGAAGAATCCTTCTATCTAGATAGATCTGCGAGGATGCCATTTTCAAAATGTTATTCTCAAGAAAATAATTGCTCTCTCGATCAACCACATGTGTAGATGTGCTCCCTTGCCACTGCGATCAGATCGTTGTTTCTCTAAGCTATGTGGCTAGATTGATCGTTCTTCTTATTTTAACAGAAGCAAATTGGATTTGTTTTATATAAGTTATTTAGCTAGCATCTATTTTGAAGAAACCTAGATGAGACATGGACATGTACTTGGCTACATGAAAAAAATTTGACTTAGAAATTTGATTATAGTTTAAGAGTGATGATATCATATTCAACGTACTTGTTGTAGTTTCTTGTTCATTATGATGCTTGATGGCATAGATTATATTGAGACAAAAGAAATATCCAAATAACATCATAAAATCTAATGAAATTTTTTAGTGAAATATTTGAATTTTATAAGAATACAAATCAAAATTTGAAGATATTAGATAGTACTTGATTTATCTTGCAAATTCAAGGTTTCTAGATTAATTATTCTCACACAAGAGCATTATTTTTAAAACCAGGCAGATTTGTAATCAATTTTTGTTGCTTAAAGGTAATTTTTCAGGTCAATGACATTAACGGTGTGCATAACGTTTCAAAGCTGAAAAGAAAATTTTATTTTAGCTGGTATCATTTAAATGGATTACAATTAATTAAATTATTCCTT